AAGCATTCATAAATTACCACAAGTATGAATGAGATTGATATACTTTAGAAACAAAATGCACTAATTCTTTTTCTTTCATTTGGGGCTCAGGAAAATAGCTTTTTTCTAACACATCTTTCCCCCCAGTTTTATTGAGATATAATTGATATATAACATTGTGTAAATTTAAAATGTACAAAATGATTTGATATATACATATATATATATATATATATATATATACACACATACATATATACACACACATAGAGAGAGAGAGAGAAAGAGAGAGTGAGAGAGAAATTATCACAATACGGTTAATTAAAACATCATCTCAGGGCTGACCAAGTGGCTCAGCTGGTTAAGAGCGCGAGCTCTGAGCAACAGAGTCACCGGTTTGATTCCTACATGGGCCAGTGAGCTGTTCCTGAGCTGAGCTGCCACTGAGCTGTCAACAGGTGGCAGGATGGCTCAGCTGGTGAGAGCACGTGCTCCTAACAACGTTTTCCGGTTTGACTCCCACATGGGATGTGGGCTGCCCACCTGCAACTAAAATTGAACACAGCACCTTGAGCTGAGTGGCTGTGAATGGCTGATGGGTGGCCAGATGGAGACTGGACTTGGAACTGAGCTAGCAGCGCCCTCCACAACTGAGATTGAAGGACAACAACTTGGCTGCTCCCCTTCCCCTATTCCCCAACACTGTTCCCCTCCCTCAATTTCCCAATAAAATCTTAAAAAAATCATGCACACACAAAAATCATCTCACATAGTTACTGTGTGCATGTGTATCAATAACATTTAAGATCTACTCTCTTAGCAACTTTCAAGTCACAATGCAGTATTGTTAACTATAGTCACCATGCTGTACATTAGAACCTCAGAAACATATTCATCTTATAATTGAAAGTGTATACCCAAACATGACTTGACCAATATCTCCTAATTTCCCCTTCCCCCAAGCCCTTGGCAATCACAATTCTATTCTCTGATTCTGAGTTCAGAATTTTAAGATTCAGATACAAGTGGTAACATATAGTTGTCTTTTTCTGACTTATTTAGCATAATGACCTCCAGGTTCATCCAGGTTCTTGCAAATGGCAGAGCTTCCTTCTTTTTTAAAGCTGAATAATATTCCATTATACATATATATGTATGCATCTACAAGGTCAGACAATGAAATTTGCAAACTCATCCCAGAAAAGGTGCTACACACCTCATTGCTGAATATCACTACGGTCACCTTCAAAGTATTCCCCTTGGGAAGCTATGCACTGACACCAGTGCCTAGTCCACCCTTCAAAACAATTTGGAACTCTTTTTCTGGAATGGCCATCAGAGCTGTTGTTGTCTTACCCTTGATGCCCTGAATGTCATCAAAATGTCTTCCTTTCAATATTTCCTTTATCTTCGGACTACGAAAAAAGTCATTGGGGCCAGATCAGGTGAGTATGGAGGGTGTTCCAATACAGTTATTTGTTTACTGGCTAAAAACTCCCTCACAGACAGTGCTGTGTAAGCAGGTGCACTGTCGTGATGCAAGAGAGCCATGAATTGTTGGCGAAAATTTCATGTTGTTTTTGTCTAACTTTTTCACGCAGCTTTTTCAGCACTTCCAAATAGTAAACTTGGTTAACTGTTTGTCCAGTTGGTACAAATTCATCATAAATAATCCTTCTGATATCAAAAAAAGGTTAGCAACATCATTGCAATAAGTTCGCTAACTTAATTGTCCGAGCTCATACACACACACACACACACACACACACACACAGAGGGTGCCAAAAAATGTATACAAGTGGACACTTTGGTCAGCATTGTTCAAGCAGTAGTTTGCCATAATCAGAAGTGTCTGGACGCTGATGGTAACCACTTTGAGCACCTCTTGTAATTGCAAACTTCAAACATAACTTGTATTCATCTTTTGATATCTGTATATATTATTAAAATTTTAATATCGTTTTCCTTTCTTAAAATATGTATACATTTTTTGACACCCTTTGTATATATATCACTTCTTTATCCATTCATCCATTGATACATAGGTTATTTCCATGTCTTGGCTATTGCAAATTATGCTGCAATTAACATAGGGGTGCAGATATCTCTTTAAGAGAGTGATTTCATTTTCTTTGAATAGATACCCAGAAGTGGGATTGCGGATCATATAGTAGTTTTATTTGTAATTTTTTGAGGAACCTCCACACTGTTTTCCATAGTGGTTGAACCAATTTACATTTTCACCAATGTGCACAAGAGTTCCCTTTTCTCCACATCCTTGCCAACATAAATCCCTGGTCTTTTAGCTAATATTCATTCTAACAGGTGTGAGGTGATATCTCATTGTGGTTTTGATTTCCATTTCCCTGATGATTAGTGATGTTGAAAACTTTTTCAGGTAACTATTGGCTAATTTTATGTTTTCTTTGGAAAAAATGTCTATTCAGGTTTTTTGCCCATTTTTTTAACTGGATTATGTTTTTCTGAGAGGTCAAATCTTACACATTTCCTCACAATGTCTCATCATTAATTACCTGGAATACGTACTGAAAATGCAGATCACTCGCCCCTCCTCCCCTGATGTTTCTGATTTGGCAGGTGTGTAATGGGGACCAGGAATCCATATTTTTACAAGCACTACCAGGTGATTCTCGTTATTAGCCAAGTTTGAAAAACCAGAACTAAAGGCAGAATTTCATAGAGTCCGTAGGGTCTCAGTCATTTTTTCATGGTGCCTCAGGTCAAAAGAAATACGCAAGGCTCCATTTAAGTCGTCAACCTTACAGTTGTAGTTTTTAAAAGGGTCCAACAGATGGCACTGTGTTTCCCTCAAAAAGTTAAATTAGCCTATAGAATCCCCATGAGTTCCATGAGGCACCCCAGGGCGCCTACCTCAGCACAGTTTGTGAGCTGTGACCTAAAGGGAACATTTTCCTGGCATAGCATCTAAATAAAGTATTCTGAATGGGCCTTCTACAGGAAGATTGTGCAACAAAGTAGACAGTGCATGCCATGAATTTCATCACCTTTTATATCATTTGTTACAGTTTCATGATTGTTATTGCTTTTATAGGAGTATAATTTTCCTATGAAGAGCCAGGGAGCAAATATTTGTAGGTTTTGTGGGCCACAAATGGTCTCTAATTCATATTCTTATCTTTGCTGTTGCAGCGCTTTAAACATGTAAAAATCATTCATCTCTTGAATTTGGCCTGTGGCTGTAATTGCCACCTCTTGTTCTAGTTATGAGCCTCGTTCTAACATAAAAATGCAATTCAGTGAAGGTGCTCCTGCAAGGCTGGAAATTCTGTTATTTTCCTATCTCTTCCGTTTTGCTCCAGGGGAGTCTCTGCAGAAATGCACCTCTGCAGCTACTATGGGAAGGGCCTAGTTGATTTCAAAGCGATGGTAAATGGAAGGCTGTCATTGAATCTTGCTCTTTATTCTTGATTTAATGAGAATTTGCAAGTTTTTCCAGTTTAATAAAGAATCCTGTTAAATTTTCAAGAAAAGGAAACTACTAGCTATTACATTAAGCCCTTTGCACTTATAATAAATGGCTAAGAAATTCCATAATTAAAACTAATAAGGCAAGCCTTAGCTTATACTAGATTCAATAAATAACTTGGTAGAATATGCCATTTGAGACTTCTTGCTTTATTTCCAAAATTAGTGTGGCAGTCTTGTTAATGTGCATTATGCTTAGTCCTTAAGTTTTTTATCAGTTATTTTTTTTAATCTAGTAGGACAAGTACTGTTCCTATGCTACTACTCATAAAGGAGATAAATATCACTAAGAATAATGGTCTTGAGAAAACTCAGGAAATTTCAATCCATATTTGAAAAGTGCAAACTTTTGAATACAAGTGTACCATGTAGGTTCTTCAGGTTCCAAACTTACAACCTTCACCAAAAAGATGTTTGCTCATTAACGCTTTCCCAGAGCTTTTAAGTCAGTACCCTTCCTTCTCTGTTGTCACAAAGACCCTGAAATTATCAATAACCACATTTTGTAATTAAATATATTCATGTAGAAATTTACTCTTTTCCTCCCATGAAACTCCAGTATTCCAGGGAGCAGAGAATAGTGTCTGCATTTGCTCACCAGTCTATCCCCAAGCACATAGAATTGTTCCTACTGCCTATTAGGTTTTCAATACGCATTTGAAAATTTGTGGGTCAAGCACAAAAACTGCATTTAGTCAGAATTTTCCACTGAAGGTATTCTTCATCTAATCACTACTGGACCTTAAAATTATGTTCCACGACCACCACTAATTTCCCTTGGGTTATTAGAAACAGCTATTTAATCTTTCAGTGTATTTCCTCATCGCGAAAACCGGGCTATTACTACCTGTCGCCACGTCACTGAGATGTTACTAGGATCACGTGCGAGACCGAGCGTTTATTCGTTTTGCAAAGGAACGTGCCTTACAGACACCAGTCCAACCCAGGCCGCTCAGGAGGCTACTGAGGCACGTCCACATCACGCATTATATAACGGGCCCGCCCGTCCGGTGTCCTGTGAAATCCCCGACCTGCGTCACCGGCCACCGCCCGGAGGAAGCCGTACATCGCACGAGGATAGGCGGTGCAGGGACCCGCCCGAAGCTAACGGTCCGCGGAATAAAGCGACCGCCACGGGGGCTGAGACCGGAAGCCCCACCCGACCTCGCCCGCCACCCGCGAGCTCTACGCCAGTTCGAACCTGACCTTGTTTTGCGGTTGCTAGGCGACCTGGCTCCCGCACGCCCCCGACGGGCCCGCGCCGCGGCGGACGCTGAAGGGGGCGGGGCCGCGGGAGGCTAGGGCAGCCCCGGCGCGCGGCGTCCGCTCGCCGCCTCTGGGAGCGGTGTCTCGGGCCCTGGCACGGCCCGGACCTCGGGGATACCCTCAGGCATGTGTCAGCGCGCTCCCCGGCGACTGTGAGCGACGTGGGGTCAGGACGCGACACAGTTAGGTGAGGCGCCGTGGGGCGGGCAGCTGCTGTGGCCACGCCTTGTCTAGGGAGACACGCAGGGCGCGTGCGGAGGGGCGAGGCGCAGGGATCGGGCCGCGGGAGCAGGGGACCGACCCCGGCGGCGGAGCGGATCACTCACGCCTGGGGGTGACGCAGCTGCAGGGAGCACTCCCCGGCCAGCGCTCAAAGGGTTAACGCGCCGGCGGGGACCGCGGGCCCCGGATGTGAGAGCCGCGGCGTGGCGCCCGAGGGCAGCGCTGCAGGTGCGCCCAGGCTCCCTCTCCCCTGCAGAGGCCGCTCGGCTCCCTCGGCGGGCGCCTCGTTTTCTAACTTGAGGGCAACAGGTGGTGCCTGTGGACCGAGGAGAGCCCAGCTCCAGCTTCGGGGCGCTGGGAACGGCGATTACTCCCGGCGATTAGGGCGCAGGGGCGGGCAAAGCACGGACGAGCTACGGCACCAATGGGATCTGGGCTCAGGGGTGGGCCGTGAGAAGTGGGCGTGGCCAGGGTCTGATTCCGCGGCTTCTAGTGCAGAAAGCGCCAGAGCTGCGTGGAGAGTTAAGCAGAGCGGACCTGGGGTGCTTTCCCCCATCGCGTAGAATCGCCTACCAATGCTTTCTCGTTTGGACCCAGACTCCAATTCGCGAGGTGAGCGCACTGTGGTTTTGGGGGTTGGGGGGAGGAGGGAGGGTACCAGTGACATTGGTCGTGCTGTTAAGTATGTGAAATTAGATCCTCAAGATAAGATTATGTATTATTACTTTTCTGCCAAAAAAGATACTTGTGTGGTTACTGCGACCTGGACTGGTGTTACTAGGCTGCCTCCGGAATGAGGTCTTTGGGGTTTGGGGATTCGGGGGCGTAGAGAAAAGTACATAGTACAGCAATTTCAGTGAACGTTAAAGAATTTCAATCACAATGATTATCCTGTCGTTTGCCTCAGATTGCTTACGTTTTATTATCTCATTTGGTTTGTTTACTGAAGCAAGCTTTATTAAGTTCCTCGTGTTGTGTATTTTAGCCCAAAGGGCGAAAAACGGTACATACTTCACAAGAATAACTTATTCCTTTTCCCCCTCAGCAGTCTTGTAGCTGGATCGCCTAAGAAGGGAAGTTCTAAAGCAGTCAGAAGAAAGCGTTTCAGCTTGGAACACTCATTTGCAACTGAAATGGGGAATGGACTCTCAGATCAAACTTCCATCCTGTCCAGCCTGCCTTCATTTCAGTCCTACCACGTTGTTATTCTGGGTTTGGACTGTGCTGGAAAGACAACTGTATTATACAGGCTGCAGTTCAATGAATTTGTAAATACCGTACCTACCAAAGGATTTAACACTGAAAAAATTAAGGTAACCTTGGGAAATTCTAAAACAGTCACTTTTCACTTCTGGGATGTCGGTGGCCAGGAGAAACTAAGGCCACTGTGGAAGTCATACACCAGATGCACAGACGGCATTGTGTTTGTTGTGGACTCCGTTGATGTGGAAAGGATGGAAGAAGCCAAAACTGAACTTCATAAAATCACTAGGATATCAGAAAACCAAGGAGTCCCTGTACTTATAGTTGCTAACAAACAAGACCTGAGGAACTCATTGTCTCTCTCGGAAATTGAGAAATTGTTAGCGACGGGGGAACTGAGCTCATCCACGCCGTGGCATTTGCAGCCCACCTGTGCGATCATAGGAGATGGGCTAAAGGAAGGACTTGAGAAACTTCATGATATGATAATTAAAAGAAGAAAAATGTTGCGGCAACAGAAAAAGAAGAGATGAATGGTTATACCTTCCATATCTGTGTGGAGTAGGTTTTCTCTGGTCTGATTTTGACGAATGGAAGAGTGTCTACAGCCTGGTTTGCGTGCCTGCCCTCCTGGATGCTGTTAAAGCTTTGTTTTGTTGAACAGTCAGTCAGATGCCCAACTCTGTTGCCTTGGGAAGATGAGTAAATGCAGTGCTTCTTAAAATGGTCTCTTCTCCCTACCCCACAAATCTTTTGGTACTACCATTTTGGGAAGCCAAGCAGGGATAGTTAATTGACCAGAAAACAGTTGTGGGAATTTGACCTGAAGTTAGTGAAATAAAACTTGGAAGAATGTCTGCCTAGTGTTTTGTGCTTATATCTTTTTTGCAGGAAGCCTTCACAAGGAAATTGCATATGAGCCTTTGTATGTTAAGATAAAATGCTAATGAATGGAAATGTTAAGATAGATTAATATGTCCATGTATCTATATATCTACATAGATAGATACATAGATGGTTGTAGTTATATTGATCACATTGGTCCAGCCAGTAAGGGATAAAGAGGAAGTGTAGGGTTTTTCAAGTTTTGGCCAAATGAATTTTGACATTTTCTGGGAACAAATAACGTAATGCTATATCTTAATTCTAGCCACTGTTTAAATTGGCCTAACTTAAAATAATAAAGGTAAGGTATTTATGGCATATTCAAGTGCGTGGGTCAGTTTTCCCGACAAAGCATGTTTTGGTGTGTAGTGTTCTTTTTAGAAATAGCTATACATCTTACTACACAATCAGGTTTAAAACACTTTTGGGATTTAAGGCTGCTGTATTGTAGAAATAGTTTGTTGTCAGAACCTAAACTTGGAGAACCTAAAATAACTTTTATACAGTCAATCTGGGCATGTAGACTGATCATAAATTCATATGCTTGAATATATGTATGGATTTATGAAGAAAGTAATTGATGAATTCAGACAGGTGGATGTAATTACAATACCTGGCCCTCAAGTATTCCAGTTATAAAATGTTTGAATATTTGCTGGCTGAACACAGATGTGGTTTTTCTTATATTTTTGTAGTGTTTTGAGAGGAACAAAAGCTTTATAAACAGCACCTGATGCACTGTGGCGTGAAAATGTATGAGGATATGTGCTCTGAGCTTTAATTTTTTTGTTTACAAACTGAAAAGTGTTACACAAGCAGATCAGTCCTAATTATAAGGTAGGAAGAAATGATACAATACCGCAGAAAGGAGTTACAATTATATAAAATGAGGGGAAAGTAGCAAAGCTGTGTTTTGTGAAAATTCACTGGTACTGTTTACATTGGAATCGAAAACACCTAAATTAGAGGGGAAACCTTATCTAATTCTTATCTACAGGCAAAGACTTAACTTCCAGTGATCATATATGAACAAATCAACAATTTCTATGTATAAAGCCAACAGCTGTTTGTTCTGAAGATAACTAAAAGAAAAGCACTTTGCGTGCAAGGTTTTATATTTGTTTGGTTTAGTTTTGTTTTTTTAGTGGCACAGCTGAGTTTTGGAACCTTGATTCTTGTTACACACAAAATGAAATAGTTTCCTCCGGAGCTTTCATATGTTAAATGTACCTGCACTAGTGACAGTTACTTAGAATGTTTATAGAAATGTGGATAATAATTACCAATAAACTACTTGAGGCACTAGGAGAACAGTGTTTGACTTTTCATGTATTTCCACTTTCACTGACGCTTTTAATGACGTGTGTGAAAACTTTTGACAGCTGGGTTACATAGTCCTACAGCAGTTTGGCTCTGCTCAAGTGTGACAGAGGCATTGGAAGCTATTTTCTGGGAGGACCTTTATTTTCTCCTTCCTTGATATGAAATCATGGTATATACTACAAACATCGCTAGATCCATGATAGACTAATAAAGCTGGCTGGAAAAAAAAATATATATATATATGAATCAATTTAGATTTCCAGGCTTCCTGTAGTTTTTATATACTTGCTGTATAAAACAATACTGTTTTTTAACTATTGAAAGTTTAAGCGTGTTGACCCTTATTTTGTATCCTAAGAATTTAATAAGTCCATGTTATCTAAGTTTTTCGTATTTAGTGAACCACAAAAAAAGATGTGAACACTGTACTAGCTTTTATTTATAAATTTCAATTATAAAACTCATTGTAAGATTTTCCAGGTTGCTGAGTTCCAGGTCTCCACAACCTATTATAGCTGTTAATACCATCGGATAGTAGGATAAGCCTCAGACCCCAAAGAGTTTAGACAATGTTTTTATGTCTAGTTTTTTACTAAAGTATACCTTTTCCAAAGTATGTTTCTAAAATATTTTCATATATTTGAGGTATTTTGGTTTATACCGAATATTAATCAAAAACTTAATTTCAAATTACTGTCAAAGGCAATGTTTAAAAAGAAATGATACCTACAGAGACATAAAAGTTAAATGTCTAGAGTTGTTTTAAAATGGATTATAAGGGCCGGCCGAGTGGTGCGTTGGTTAAAAGCTGGCTTGGGACGCCAGAAGGCCCCGGTTCAGATCCCACATATGAGGGCCAGTGACACTGCCCTCTACAGCTAAGATGCTGAACAACAGCTCAACCTGGAGCTGGGCTGCCGTGAGGTGCTGGTGCCGGCAACGGCGGCAGCCCCTGCTGCAGTGGGTTGCCATGGGCTACAGTATGTAGCCAGCAGCCAGCAGCCGCCGTGAGCGGCCGACCAGAAGCTGGCGACTCATCTGCCTCACCCGAGAAAAGCACAATGATGGTGCCAACTTGGGCCAGTGAAGCAACGTCCTCCACAACTAGACTGAAGACCAAAAAAGGAGAGCAACTTGTCAGTCCCCCTCCCCCCAAATTCCCCAGCGCTGTTCCCATCCCCCAATTCCCCAATTTTAAAAAAAATCTTAAAATAAAATGGATTATAAGTATTTAGGAAAAAAAGTAAATGTAGCCAGCATGGGTTCATTAAAAATTGTAGAAAAATGAATAAATCATTGAAAGCCAAAAAGTGAACTTACTAGTATAAATATATGTATAAAGAGAATTACATGATGGTTTATGAACTCGGGGAAAGGCATAGAATGTTTTTGTACAAGGCATTTGACACTTCAAGAGTGTTTCATTAATTATTCATGTTGACCTGGAAGCAGGTCTTTGGTACAGTGTTTCAAGGTTCTGTTTCATACAATTTAATCAGTAATACAAACAAAATGGTTTCATCAGCAATGGCAAATGTTTGTTTAAACTTTTCGGTGGTATAACACTTAAAATTTGGCTAATACAACTTGGAGTCTTACATATACTAATATTTAAGTTGGAATTTACATTTAAGATTTAAATTTAGCAGTGCGTTCTGTAAATGAATAGTAATGATGCTTGTGCAACATGGTCAAGTACGTAAACTGAATTATACATCTGAAAATAGTAAAAAATGGTAAATTTTGTGTATATTTTACCACAGTAAAAAATTAGACTATTAAATGTACACTTAGTTTCAAAAATCAGCTAAGAGTAGAGTAAGGGCAACCTGATTTAGAGACCAGATTTAGTTACAAATTAAATGGAAGATTGGGTATTGAACTAAATTGAAGCTTAATATGAACCACCAGCATGCTAAACTAATAAAGTCAATATTAAAATGTATGACAATCAGATCATAGTCTCAGCTAACCATAGCTGAAGTATGTATCAAATTCTGTGTGTGCAAGTTAGAAATGTAGGAATGCCTATATGGGAGGCTACTTTAGGGGGATTAAGTATAGTAGCTTAAAACAGCATGATCTTTGTGGAGTCAGATCAGAGTTCAAATCCTGGCTCTCTTGCTGTTGCACATGTGACTTAACTTGGCAAGTTCTTGAAACTTCTCATGATATGAATGCCCTCCTGGTAAAATGAAGACTCATTTACAATTTTGAGAGGTTTGAATGAAATAATCTCTTAGCTATTGGGCTGTTGGAAAAGTCATGACATATTTTTCTACGTATTTTGTCGCAAAAATGCGTCATGACTTTTCCGACAACCCAATATTTAGCCCATCACCACACATTTGATAAGGACTCAATAAATGGTAGATATTACTGAATCAGTAAGTGCTGATAGGCAGTGTGGTATGTTGATAATGGCTATACAAGTCCAGGTTTGAACCCTGGGTCCACCACTTACTAGTTTCATCTTGGATAGTTTATTGTCAGCATTAGTATCTTCATTGGTAAATTGAGGCATGTACCAATTTGGGTTAAAGGGGTTAAATGAAACATTTAGCAGAGTAACAACACAGTAAACATTTAATTGATGGTTAATAGCAAGAATATTTTCTGACATGTATTTAAAGAAAACTTACTTTGAGGGGACTGACAGCTCTTAATATGTTTCTCTTAGCATGTTTCATGTAGCATGGCACAAAATGGTAGCTTGGTGGAACTTGAAAAAGACTAAATATACTGAATTTTCTTGAAATCTGGATCATTTCCTGAAATTTCTAGAACACTAATCTGTTTTAGCAAATATAATCTTATCTTCCCCAGTAAGAAACAATTAAAATCCTGGTTATTTTCTGGTGTAGACAAATCAAAATAGAATACTTCACTTTGCAGAAATTAAAAATCTGGAACTGTCTGTACATTGTGGTTCTTCAAAATGCCTCAAGACTGTTATCAGTCAATTCACAAATTTTATGTAATGATAAGTGGGGATCTATCTGCTGACCCTTCTATGTAAACTTGAAAATACTGTGGGCACGCCTGATCATGGTGGTGGTTTGTGTTTGTGGGGCAGGTATGTGTGCTGTGTTACTTTTCAGTTACTTTCAGGTATTCGTCTTGTTTTTATATCTTCTGCTTATGTTTTACTGGAGTTGAGATTACCCATTTTAGGCACTGGGTTATAAATGAGCAGAAAGTCCTGGGTTATTAGCCAAAATGAACCCATGTTTTCTTGGGCCCTCTCTTCCTTAGCTTTATAATAAGGAAGCGATTAAAGCATTGCCAAAGAGAAGAACTACCTGGGGCATCGTCCTTCACCCCTGCCCCTCCCGTTTGAAGACTAACTCAGGTATGCAGCTTAGGTATATACTGTATTTTATTGCCTGTTCTCAATGATTGGGAATGGTATGGATTCACAGTGGTTTTCAAAGGGTGGTCCCTGAGCCAGAAGCAGCATCCACCAAAGAATTTGCTAGAAATGGAAATTCTCAGCTCCACACCCGACCTACAGATACAAGTTTGGGGTTGGGCCCAGCAATCTGTGTTCTCACAAGCCCTCCAAGTGATTCTGATGTTCATTCAAGTTAACAATGATGTTAACAGAAAACCCAGCCATTTATCATGCTTAAAAATTAAGATAAACTTTTAAATAATTTCAGTGCTGTAAAATCAGGCCTTTTTAAACAGTGGCTTTTCCCAAAAGCACAATGTTTGTTTTATTTATAGTTGGCATCCAGAAAAACTGTTGAATGAACTTTAATTGATGCCAGCGGAAACACTATCTTTGTCACATCTTGTAAATTTATATTTATACAGAAGTATACATATACACACAAGAAGGGAGTTTTACTTGTGAACTATGCTAAATATCCTAGTATGTGCATTGTTCTAAAAATGGGTAGTTGAAGAAGAGACATGTTAAAGTTGATTACATTTCAGTGATGCTCTAGTTTTAAATAAAAATCTTAACTTTTGGGCCGGCCGAGTGGCGCGATGGTTAAGAACTGGCTTGGGATGCCAGAGGGCCCCGGTTCGGATCCCACATAGAGGGCCAGTGACACT